ACCTGGCCAGTGCTGTCCTGCTCTTCACTGCTCTCCCGGTTGGCGTTTCCCCCAGAATCCCTCAGGGCAATCCCAAGGACCATCCATCCCATGGCTGTTTACACCCTAGAGCTCATTTCACTCCCCATACCCAGTCCTTCCCATGTCCCTTCGGAGCCCAAGTTCCTCTAAGCCAGTGGTTCTCAACCTCCCTAATGCCGCGACCCTTTAATACAGTTCCTCATGTTGTGGTGACCCCCAACCATAACATTATTTTCATTGCCACTTCATAACTGTAATTTTGCTACTGTTATGAATCGTCATGTAAGTATCTGATATACAGGATGTATTTTCAGGGGTCACGACCCACAGGTTGAGAACCGCTGCAAGCCCAGGAGAGCGGCTTCTCTCGGAACTTACCCGTTTCCAGGCGCTCTGCTCACTGTAGGCATCCCCTGGACATATAGTGAGTGAGTGAGTGAGTGCGCAGGCCAGAGAGAGCCCGGAGATCATCCCTGGGTCCTCTGGTGTTGGTTCTGAAGAAGCGGACGGTCCCTGTGTAACTGATCTGAGTGGTGGGAGGGAGTTTCTGCCCCAATTTTATACCCAAACCACTAGGCATCCAAGAGGAGAGCAAGGACTTTGGAATCAGGCACACTGAGGCTCAAAGTGTGGCTCACCACATCCAACCCCCTCAGTTTTCTCGTCTGTGAAATGGGCATCATTATAGTGCCTGGCACACAGGGACTGTTCTTGTCATTGCTTAGGTGAGATCAGAATTGTCTTTTTTTAAATATACAAGGAACACATGATCTCTTCCATGATCTGTCACCACCTACTTGACGAGTAAGACTCTTGGTTCTCGTCGGTAAGTTGAGATGGTCTCAAACCGTTTAACGGAATGACTGGCTATTCCTAAAGTAGAAATTTTGCTGGCACCTGGATGGAACTGGATGTCACTTGAACTGGGTCATTATTTAAGGTCTTGTCCAGCTCTAGTATGTTAGGGTTCAATTCACCGCCTGTATGATAGGGGGACAATACTAGTGCGCCATGAGTTCACTATATTTTCAAAGTGCTATTTTTTCCCCTATAAACTATTTTTTTCCTGATATTTTTTCCTTATTCTTCCTGAAATGTGGTCTTTTTTTTCTAAATTTCAGATTCTGCTTTACAGCCGACCGGGTAAAGATTTATACCAATGAAGAGAAAACCAGGTGGGTCTTCCCCCTAGGCCCCGTCATTTCCAGAAGATTCTCTAGAATAAAGATTGGGTGGGGGGGCGGGGGGGTGTGCTTGGTTTCTGGCCTGTCTGTCGCAGTTTTCCATTTGCTTGTGTTTTAACCGACTCTATGACTACAAAGGCGATTGTTCCCAAATCTGAGCCTTTCTTTCATTAAGAGAAATAACAGAGGGTGTGGGGGGAGGGGCAGAGGTAAACATCTTGGTGTACTGCAAAAAGCCTGCGGCCAGAAGAAAACCTGAGTTCCTGCCCAGATCTGCCCCCAATTTAACACTTAGCTCATAGCTCCAGCTCTGTGGCCTTCTGTTTCCACGTCACACGCCTGTCCTTGATCCGTTCATCACTGGACACTTGTGAGGCTCAGATGAGCCAAACGAGTTTTTGATGGCCCTGACCGGTGTTGCTCAGTGATTAGAGCATCGGCCCGTGCACCGGAGGGTATTGGGTTTGATTCCTGGTCAAGGGCATGTACCTTGGTTGCGGGTCCGATCCCTGCCCCCCAGGCCAGTTGGGGTGCATGTGGGAGGCAACCAATTGATGTGTCTCTCTCACATCAATGTTTCTGTCTCTTCCCCTCCCACTCTCTCTAAAATTGGGGGGGGGAAATATCCTCGGGTGAGGATTAAAAAATGAAAGAGGACGTGTCTGAGTGCTGAGGGGAGGGTAGCCGGTGCCACGGAGCCAAGGCCTCGAGAAAGGGGCAGACTCTGAAGTGACGATGAAGAGATGAGTACAGGGGCTCCGGGGACTGCAGACTCGGCAGTGGCCGGCGAAAGCACTCCTGTAAGTGTTAGCAGACCCTGGGGAGGAAGGCAGGCGTGTGGTTAGCCCGGGGGCAGGAAGGTTTCCAGCCGGAGGAGGGAGGATGAACAGGAGACGGTGAGCGAGCGCTCTCGGTCCAGCCTGCTCAACAATCCACCTATCACGTCCTCCACCCGTCGCAGATGCTCCCGTTCTCAGTGGCTGCGTCTCATGCCCCTGTGGTCTCCACTTGTGTCTCCCCCCAGGACCTTTGTTGGGCTGGAGGTCACCTCTGGCCACGCCCAGTTCCTGGACCTGGTTTCAGAGGTGGACAGAGTCATGGAGGAGTTTGACCTCACCACTTTCTACAAGGTAGCCCACGGGGCCTTTTCTTCTCCTGCGGCCCCTTCTTCTTCTACTCGAGTAAAACCCGCCCCGGTTAGAGGCAAACCGAAGAGCCCTCCAGAACTTTCCCACGCCAGGTGTCCCCAGCTCCAGCCTTCAGAGGACACGCCCCCCTTGAAGCAGAGGGGTCTGCGGTGTGGTCAGGTGCAGCCCATCCGAAGGGCAACATTCCTTAGCATTCTTTTTCTATGCATCTTAAATATGCACAAGAGTTATGCCTTCTACTCCATAGTTTTTTATGTTTATTTTTATATTTTTGTAAGAGGCGGTTTTCCTCAGTTTTGAGACCCCAAGGGGTATTGCTTCATATACCTTCCTGCACACCATGGTCTCCAGGGGTTCTGGAACTCCAAGCTGAGTATCAGGGCTTTAAAGGGCCGCTGGTTTTGCTTAATATCTTCTTTTCAAATCATGCTGAGATAGGCAAGTGTGAACCTGAATGGAGGCAATGGTTGTTTCTTCTTCATCGTTTTTAGACACTTTGATTTTTGTTCATCTCACCTTAAAAAGTGTGTCATCTGTCGAAGCGTTTTAGATCAGGACACAGGCTCAGAGCCTGGGTTCTCTACCGCGTCCCGGATTCAGTGACTCCCCCCATAAGTAAAGGAAAGTCTTTGCGAACAGGACAGTCTCCGCTCGGGCTGCCACGACAAAATACCGCGCACTGGGCGACTTAAACACCGACATTTATTTCCTCCCAGCTGTGGGGCCTAGACGTCCAAGATCAAGGTGTCCGCATGGTCAGTGTTGGTGAGGCAGCTCTTCCTTGTTTGTAGACAGATGTCTTCTCACTGTGTCCTGACATGGTGGAGAGGGGAAGCAAGCTCTCAGGTGTCTCTTCTTAAAGGGCGCATATCCCATCATGAGGGCCCCACCCTCATGGCTAATTATCTCCCAAAGACCCCCACCTCCAAGTACCATCCTATTGGAGGGTAGGGCTTCAGCACAGGAACCGAGGGAACACAGTTCGTTCCAGGGCTATTTTGTTTTCCTGTAGAGAGTGCTTGGGACCAACTCGGATCAGCACAGAGGGTCTCTCCCGTGGAGCCGTCCAGGGATCCAGCGGGGATGCCATGTCACGGATCTGCTGTGATGCCCGGGCCGGCCTTGGCACCTGGTGACCGCCCGCCTCCCTGCCCTTCCCCCGCAGGACCCTTCCTTCCACATCAGCCTGGCCTGGTGCGTGGGTGATGCTCGTCTCCAGCTGGAAGGCCAGTGCCTGAGGGAGCTGCAGGTGAGTCCCAGAGCAGGAGCCCCGAGGGTGCTGAACTCCAGAGTGAGGGGTGTCGGGAAGCGGGAGGTGCTGATTGGCCCTGGGGGTGAGGTGCGCAGCCCCGAATCCCCGGGAAATCGCTGGCGTGGCAGGAGACCGGCCGCCTGACCGTGCTCCCGAAACTGCAGCCCGGCACCGGCAGCAGCAGCAGCGTCGCCCGGGAGCTTGTTAGCACTGCAGACTCTGAGGCCCCGGCCCAGACCTGAGCATCAGACCCGGGTTTTAACAAACTCCCTCGGATCTGTACGCGCGATAAAGTCTGAGCAGCGCGGCCCCAGAACACAAATCCGAGAGGACGCTGCGGGCCTTCCCTGAAGTCCTAGCCCTTTGCCCGGAGATCAGAGGCCGGGATGCCCACCGGGACCCGGCAGGTGTTGGAAATGAGTGAACCGTGCCGGGTGTAAGGAACATCCACCTTCGTGGCCTTTCTCGTATTGTGATGAGGAGGTGAAACAGTTCCCTCTCCCGTCGGCCGGTCGAGCTGCCGACTCGCCTCCTGGGTCAGGGAGGCGATGGGAGTGTTGCCGTGCAGGAAGGTGGCCTTGCGCCGCTACCACTCCTGTTTTTCCAGAGAAGCCAGAAACCCAGACTTTTATGTATCGTCTCCCTCGTTCCTGATGTTGGTAACCAATGTGTATGTTTTTCAAAAACATTTTGCAAGCCCAACAAAACCGGCACGCTAGGTGCAGCCATGGGCCTGCATCAAGCAGCCGCCCCTGCTCTTGGCCCGATCGTGCAGGTGGAGGTGGCAAAGAGCTTGCTGGGGGCTCCGGCAGACCCGGGTGCCCATCCTGCTTTTATTGGATTCTGTCCTGCAGGGGTCTGAGCGGCCGCTCCCTCCTCTGCACAGATGGGATGGTAGGGTCGACCTCATAAGATTGTGGAGCTGATAGGGCCTGGGGTCTGTGTGGCCTGGGGTCTCCCTTCAGCACCACCTCTGAAGGACCTCAGAAAGCTGTTTGCAGCGCCCTCCGGTCCCCCGAGTCCCCTAAAGTGACTGTCCCCTCCTGGCTCCCGGCTGCAGGAAATTGTGGACGAGTTTGAAGACTCCGAGACGTTGCTGCGCGTGCACGCTGAGCAGGTCCGCTGCAAGTCCGGGAACAAGTTCTTCTCGGTGCCTTTGAAGTGAGCGCCAAGGCCCTCCTCGCCCCGGGTCCCGCCGCAAGCCAGACGGAGGTGGAGGAGCCTGCGCAAACCGGCCTGGGAGGCCTGGTGGTCCCGGGGCCCGTCCTCTCCCGGCCCTTTTGGGTTGCTGCTCCAGAGCTGCTGTGTTGTGGTCGTTCCCAAAAACCACCAGTAGAGGGCAGACCGGGCTCCCTAGCTCTAGATCTGTGGTTCTTATGCAAAAATATAGATAAAAATGGGGTCACCCGGTGAGCCCACCCATACTCAGCCAGAATCCCCACTGTAGTCCCGCCAACAAAGGCCCCTCCCCACCTCACCCCCATCCCCACACACACACCCCACGGCTCCCTCAGCTGTTTGCACTGCGATGCCCTTGGCTTCAGACCAGCCTTTTCAAAACCATGTGTCCTGGCTCATCCCTGCTCAAGCCAGGACGTAGGGTCCTCCAAGGGGTCTGTCACTCTCCCTCGCTGAAGCCTGTCCCTTTACTGCTAGTCCCAGCCCCTCCTGCGCCAGCGAAGGCCATGTCAGGGCCAAGGCTCAGGGTGCTAATTTGGGGTTCAGCATCAGTTTTCTCCATTCCTTCCTCCCACGCACCCCAGCCAGGTGCCTGGGGAGGCTCCAGCAGATGTTTCATTTTGGCCTCGCTGGCGGCTTCCAGCCAGGCCTCCAACGCTCTGCTGTGACCTCTGGTTTCCCAGCAGCTTTTCCCAGAGGCTGAGGCGCCTCCCCCATCCAGGGCTCTCTCTCTGGGACACGGACAGAGGGCCAGGGGCTGCCCAGGGGTTTTATTCTCCCAGCCCTCACGAGAGCAAAGGACCGGTCCTGTCGGGTGGCCATCTGGATTTCCAGTGATGGATAAGGAGATATTTTTATGTTACAGTTTTAAATTATGTCTAACAAATAAAAATTACAGTTTGTATTTTTGGGTTGCTTCTTCAGGTGCTTCACAGTTTGGGGGGACCCTGGAAGTCCGTTACAACTTCTAACGTGGCCACGCGAGACGTTCATGTTGGGGTAGGGTCACCCAGCCTGCCAAGCCCACACACCAGCGAGGTCACACATGCCACATCGAGCCCAGGGCTGGGCATGAGGCTGGAGGTCGCCAACCCCATTCATCATCGGTGTAAGGATAGACATTTAGATACTAAAACAATTTCAAAGCCCTTTCTGGGACCTTCTCGTCCGTTCCTCCCAATAAGCCCCCTGAAAGGTGAACTGGGAGGAATGATTATTCCATTATAGAGAAGAGCAGGTTCAGTGACCAGCCGAGGTCACGGGAGAAATCAGAGGCAGGCCCCGCCTCCGCCCTCGCCTCCATCCTGCCCTGGTCAGGCCTGAGGGAAGGTGGGGAGTGGGGGCCAGGCCGCCTGCACCTGTGCTTGCCAGTCGCTGCGCCGAAGGTCCCTGAAGTCGCGTTCTGTGCCGGGTTCCCCAGCCCCACCACACTGATCTGCTGAGTCAACTCTGACTGGTCAGTCCGCTCTGGCTTTTGAGCTCACGCTGGAGATGGAGCAGCAGCCAAGCGCCTCTCCCCGCACGGAAGGAACACGGCAATCCGGCTGTGCTATGCAGTCAGCAGTCACTGACGCCTGCTCTGTGCCAGGCCCTGACCTGGGCAGCTGGGTGAATCAGGCTCATCCGGGCCTCTGGATGCTCACAAGGGGGGCAGGGGATGCACAGGCGGGGTGCCCCGAGCAGAAGCCCCCTCCCCAGCTCTGTACGGCTCAGCCACCCCATTTCCTGCAGGCTGCCGGTTCAGGATGAAAGCCGGCCTCCCACAGGCAGGTTCCATGGGCACAGACCAGCTGACTTTCCTCAGGGACACTGTCTGGGGTGCCCTCTCTTCCTGGGAGGGGCTGGGTGTGATTAGCACCTCCATCCACAAACTGGGAGGACTGGACCTTGGTGTGTGTGTGGGAGGGGGGGCGCGGGATGCGAGAGGATGGGGTATGGATGGAATGAGCGTGGGGCAACTTTGAGAAACGGGCCAAGATCAATAACCAGCTCGTCAATGGAGAATGGAAGGTGGTGACAGAGGAAGGAAGTAGGAGATTCACTGGGGGAGGGGCGGAGGCGGGCCGGGCGGCAGGGGCTTGGCAGGCGCCCAGACCTGGAGTGTGAGCTGACAGTGCAGAAGCCGCTAGGGCGCTTCCTTAAGAGGCGATGTGTCTGATGCTCCGATGCTCCGGACTCTGGCAGGACCAGAGCAGCCGGGCCGCCCCAGGCAGGCCGATCTGCCCCAGGC